GAGAACAAGATTTAAAACCTTTCTCTAATAGTCAGAAAGGGGGGTTGGAAATAGTCTCATTTAACATTCATGGCATTTGTTGACTCTAAAATGATTCATTAAATTATTACAAATCAATCTAAGCTTTGACCAAGTCAATTATTGTCTGTAATTGTCTCACTTGCAACAGCGCCTTTTTACTTGTCAATTATATGATAACTTGGAGACTCCATCAGCGGAGGAAGATGGTGTCTCATCATGAAAAGCTACTGAACGGGGCTTGTAGTGGGATCGTTTTGATCAACTTGATTCAATTATTTTCTAAGATTTAGTTATGGAATGTAGAGCAGTTCATTGCCATATGTTCTTGTTCAAGATGCATTTGTAAACGATTCTTGAAGCAATTCAATTTCTAAACAAAATGGCCTGAAATGTCGCCACTTTTATAACCTATTCCAAGAAAATAGATGCATAGGAAGCATTAATATACAGAAAACACTTAAGCTTAGTTTGTCATTAGTTGAGGAATTCTTGATAGTTTCATGACACTGTGCTCTCCCCGGTGGTCAGCAGCTTCTCCTGACCTGCAGCTGTGTGGACTGCCAGTGTCCAGCAGAGGGAGTGAGGCAGCTGATAATCTGAGGAAGAGTCCCTTGACGTTACATATGGATACTTCACATGCTGCCATGCACTTTACTGTCCTGGGAAACAAAAGAAACGGACGTTGGTTGTGTTTTTGACTCAACTGGTTGGTTCAACTGTTTCCTGTTGCAATCTATCTTAAGCCTGACAGTTGGAGTGGATGGATTTGCAGCTCTGACCCTCACTTCAGGTCTTCAAAGTGGACGAGGAGCCTGAGGTTTGGACAGTGTATCACACACTTAACACCAGCTGATAGGAACACATGAAGGGCCCTCAACAGGCTCTGCTTATTTTCTGATAACGCTGTCTTTTGAAGCATTTCACTGCTCTCTGTAGGCTGTGGAAGAACGGCTTTAATGGAACAAAACTCAAATGAGCTAGAGTTCCTGTCGGAGGAATAAAGTAATATTCCCTGCGGTCAGTAAATGTTTGTACTCTTGAGACTTCTTACATATTTCCCAGGTCCTGCACGCGTTCTGCTGCAGAGGCCGGACTTCCTGTAAGAGATTGAGAAAGTCTTCCAAATACTTAAAATAGTGCATGTGCCATGAGGGAATATGAAACTCTGGCGATGATTATATAGTGACGATTTCTCGGAGCTCACATCACGTCACTCACCATAATTGTTGTTTTGTTTTGGACGTTGCCCCGCTGGACCTCAGCCGGGCCAAGATAATTCAAATGCTAATTCATCCCGGACCAGAACGCTCAACAGCCATTTAAATCCTGCCTGAAGCTTTTTATCACACCATAACATTACTTCCAGGACAAGACAAGAACTATCTTTGAGACATTTAGCATGGGAAAATACAGCATGTGACATTTTGGTTCCTACTTCCTGTACTTATGGTGAAATGCAAAAAAAACTCAAAAGCTCTTGGGCAACGTTCATCGAGATGCCCATTCATCCCAACTACCTTGAAGGATGATTCAGATGTATTTTGTTAAGTTTTATGAGTTATGATAAGATGGTACTCACCAAGTAATAGCTACCACCTGGAAACATGGCAACATCACTGAAAAGAAGTCTGACAGGTCGAGAAACACGAGCAATCGGGGTCAGTCAGGTTAAAAACAAACTTCCAGGTTAGCCAGAGACACTTCCTGCTTCAATGTTTAACTTCCTGTCATTACTGTAGTTGTGTGCTCACAGTTTCCTGTTGTAATGGGGAGATTATTAGCAACATCTTAGTTGCGCTCTTTTACCATTTTACCTCTACAGAAGGTAACTGTTTGCTTGATCACTACCTGTCTGACCTTCTGACAGTTTTTTGTGATTTCCTCATTTCTCAGATTTTAGAAATTCATTCTGTGAGTACGATTTTAGATGAACTGATACAACTGATGGCCAAAAGTCACAATATACCGCAATCATTCTTTTACCATGAGTTGGCCAAACTTCTTGCAACCCTTTCACAACAAGCACATTGTCTTCTCAGAGATGCAGAACCCCAGGAGATGTTCAATGACATTCACTGCTGAGATTCAAAATGTGCATGGTAGTTAGGGTTTGTTCGCTTTGTGGTTTCCAAAAACCCCACAAACTACACTATTTTGGATGACAGTCAGGTCTTTGCATGCCTGTCAGGGTTCATTACCTTTGAAAGAAACTAGTTTGTGTTTGCAATATGCACACTAGAGGGCGGGGTCAACTAAAGGCCAACCATCATTGATGTCTTTCCAGTTCAAAACACTGGTGTCACATTAAATATTTCCCATGAAGAGTATCAGGACCCCTACATTTTGAATTGGACAGGGATTTTTCAGACATTTAGGCAATCGGACAAGTACTTCTTTACATCATACAGAGGCCTTGCCACATACAGTAAAGCGCACACCATTTCCTGTATTGGCTCTGAGCAGTGTGACAAGAGGAACATTGTGTGCTGCAGAACTGTCCAATGTGAATGCATATCGAAAAGCTGTTTTCTAGCCTTTTCGAACACCGTTGCAGCAGAGTCACTATAAAAATAAGACCCACGTTGTCATAATCCATAGATAGCCTTTAAAGTTGTTATGGTCTCTAGTTTCTAAGCAGATTAAATGACTTTTAAGGCCATTCAATCCTGTGTATATATTCACAAATAGACCATGTTAATCAGAAAATGTAAACATCTCTTTTATGGGAAAAGCTGCAGCATTTCTCACTTCCTGAATAAAAGAAACAAGCCTTGGTTGGCGATGGGAGAACAGTACATATGGTCATCAGCGTTAACCTTGAGATGGCAGTTTGGAGTTAATTATGTTTCCTTTACAATGCAACAGACTGAGTGTGTATTCCAGCCTGCATCTGTGTTTATGAAAAGTGCGTAACAATAGTGACTTAATCGCACAAACAGGGCAACCTCTCAGTCAACTTGACTTTGCGTGGAAACTCCACATCTCTGGAAATTCCTTTGGTTGTTCACCCAAACCACACACTGTTAACAGCTGTGCAGTATTTCACTCAGGCTGCTCTCAGATTTTCTCTCTTTTTTTTTTTTTCTTGTGCCGAGTTCTTTTCTAAAACCGCTCATTAATAAAATATTTGCGATCATGTGGCACTGACAGCGGGATAAAGATCACTGCATGCAGGGAGGGAGGGGTGAGAAAAGCAAAAGTTAAGAAGAAACGATACAAAGAGAATGAAAGAGGAGAAAAAAGGTGGATGTTTTAAGGGGAGAAGGGTTAAGAAACACTATTTCCCGCTCTCTTGCACACACACACTCTGCACGCAGACTCCCCGCCCCTCCCTCGCTCTTACTGTCTCCTCTGTAATGAGCTCCAGATGTGTTGCAGAGGACGGGGGTGGGTGGGTGAGGGCGGGGGAGAAGGGCGGTGGGGGAGCTGCCTTGTGTGTCATGTGCTCAGGCGAGGAGAGACGCTGTCCGAGGGGACGGTGTCAGCCCTGATGGAGTGGCTGGTCAAGGCCTGGGGGCAAATGGGGAGGGGCGGGAGGAGGAAAAGAAAGCGGGGGAGGAAGGGCGAAGGGGTGGGAGGGTCAAAAAGATTTCCACATCTGGAATCACTTCAGGTCAGCCCGGGCCCTGGCCATGAAAGGTGAGACCGGGCGCCTGGCAGGGGAGAGGGGGACAGGGGTCTGACACTGGACATACCACAGTCAGGGATCAGTGATCGGAAAACAACCAACAGCAGAAAATACAACGGCCAGAGGGAAACAGAAATATCCCTTTTCTAATGCCAATGAAGCTCTTTATTACGACTAACCACACAACTCAACAAATGGCCATTACATCGTTTACTTAATCAAACTGCAATCAAAGATATACGCAATTATAGGTTGATCCAAAATCAATTCTTAGTTGTAAAAGCTCCCACATTGGAGATAATGAAATGATGAAAAGTTCCCCAAATCTTCATGCATTCACAGGGATTTTCCTGCTTCAAATCAGATGATGGATTACATGCCAAAGTGGAAGAAATCCTCAGAGCTCATTCCCTCTAGGGTAGCTTGCTACAAAGACTAACAAAAAAGGGTTTTTCTAAGAGTTTGCAAAAGGTTTTTTGCTGGACAACTCGCTTATTTCGTGAGCTCGCCACATGTTGGCTGTTAAATCTGAATCTATAAAAATAAAAATGTCAATAAATGTTTTAAAATATTGAAATACTTCAGTAAAGTGTCAGAATTTCGAAGCTGTACCAAGTACTTGAAAAATAAAATGAAACAGAAAGCTGAAAAGTTGATGGATGCCAAAGCAAATAGCACGAGACAATACCAATAATAGTGAATCCATTATTTTTGGAGGATTAAAGTTGCCTGAAATGTAACTTGTATGCTGAATTTAACATAAAACTATAGGAATTTAGAATATGTTGTACGCAAAAGTTCATAATGTTTAAAAAATGTGCCATCAGCAAAGCTAAATTAACTCTCAACGACAAATAAAAAAAACCTGCATTCTTTCAGTATTGTATGTATTTCCACAGACAATATGCTTGTGTCCCTTTTGATCACTTGTTCCTGAAAAATCTAAACTCTCCCACATCAACTGCGGTTTCAATCGTCCCCACTCTTTGGTCCCGTGTGAGTCGTAGGAGGACGAGTGTGGACATGTGTTTGTTGCAGGCGGAGGTTATGAGGGGCCAAGGAGAAGAAACACTTTGTGTGACAGCCGCAGAGTCAGACGAGGCCCAGGGGCCCTCCACATTAAGGAGAGGATTTCCCTGCACATAAATATCCTGTTTTTAAGATGGAAATGTCAGGTTCTGGTAATCAGGAAAAAAAACACAAAGCAGGAGCCGCTTGAGGTTTCTGTGAAGAGAATCTGTTCTCGAGTTGTAAATCTTCCTTTTATGGAACTCATGAGGTCCAACATCATTGTGCTTTCAAAATGTGTTATTCTTTCTCCAGAAAGTGGAAAATGAACTGTTGAATTGGACACTGTGCCATTGCATTGCTTGAAATGCATTTTTTATTAATATACACGTTTTTATTCTGTTACAAATAAAGGTTATCATAGGAAATTTAGAGAAGGTTTTGGATTCAGAAATACATTAGCCTCTCCTTTATATTGGACCATTACACGAAAATGAAAATGCGTTGAAAATGTTTGCTCGGCAGTGGTATAGCATGGCAGAGAAAATGTGGAAAAACAAAACTTTTTTTTTTTAATTGCATAAATGTCAGAGGAAGTCCTTGTCGGTGCATTGATGATTTTAAAAGAGGGGGAAAAAAGGGTTGTTGATCCCAAATTTGGTGTCATTTATCCAAACCACAGCCAATGGGTCAAAGGGAATTCCACGTAGTCCAAACACGAGTCTCCGTCGAGAACAAGTTCTTCGATTGAAAAAGAAAACGTTGAAAAACTCTCCTTCCATTTCAGTCACAATCACAAAGGTAAAACTAGGCAGATATTTGGCTACAGCTTCCAGTCTATGTGTCTCTTTGTACAAACGAGAGTTCAGCGATGCCCAGGAGGATAAAAAAAAGGCGGCTTAGGGAAAATCCGGACATCACTCGGGGTCCGACAATTTGCATATAGGTGTAGTATCGCTGCCCCAGGAGGGGAGGAGGCTTCAGGATCCAGGGTACGTAAGATGATGCTCGACCCAGAGACGGTGCCCGTCTGCAGGGGTCCAGCGGCAGAGAGGCCCCCCCCCTCTCCTGCACCAGCCCCCGGCCTCTCCTCTTAGTTGACCGTGGGCACTTGATTCAAGCTGTACTCCTTGGCTTTGAGCCGCAGGTTGGCGATGCTGTTGGCCATGTTCATGCCCTGGGACGTGTTGGTGTTGGAGCAGGTGGGCGGGTAGGTGGCCATGGCGCTGAGAGACAAGAGGGGGGGGGAAAGGTTACATCACCTGTGGCTGACAGCGAGCTGAAGCTCAGCATGAGCCGCAGCTGTGGAAATATGGAAAAGGAACAGAAACAGGTATCACTCATCATGTGAGGAGACTGAGACTCAATATGACGTTAAGACATGGCCCAAAACCCCGCAGAAGAAATGAACCAGTGTTTTTGCACGTTCTACCTTCACTTCACACAATTTATCAGAGGAGGGTTTAACGTTTTATCGCTCTTATTGTATTTCACCTGAGTTCATTTGGAGTGAATCTTTTCAGTCTTTTTAATCTGGCAAACTATTTGGAAGAAGACATCGTGATACACACATCCACTTTATTTTCACATCCTCACCAGGTTGTGTTTTTTAAAAACAACTTTTCATGAACAGGGTTTGGCTTTTACGGCAATATTTATTTTATAGAGAAACGGGTTCACATTTCTTCCCCCTATTTTCATAAAAAAGAAAATCTGCCCATTCAGTGAGGAAATGGTGTATTGAACTGGGATCTGATCATAAATAATTTAACAAGTACTTATTTTAGTCACTAAGCCCTTAACTGGCCTTTTTCTATTGCTCTCTTAGAATGATTGACTGAGGACATATCTCTCTTCTTTCTTTTTACCCAGATGTGTTTCTCCGTGCATGATTTACTGACTTGTTTGTTGTTGTTGTTACCAAAATGTCAGAATGTTCTGCAGCTTTGTTTTTAGTTCATGCAACCAGTCAATTATGGAGGTGTTATTTTGGTGATAATCCTGTCTGCTTTTGTTTTTGTTAAAGTCATGTCCTTGTCAGAATGAATGTTTTTTATTGTTTTTTTAGTTTTCGCCCCAAAACTGCAGCTCCTATGACTTGCATTTTGTTTGTTTGTTTTGTTCTTTCAAGACTCCTATCAATCATCATGTGTCACATGCACATCCAGAAGTTTTGCAGGACCTTGGTGACTATTCAAATGTTTTATTGAAATGCTATTGAAATAAGACTATAAAACATATTTGCCTTGAAACCTGTTTCCAATTCTTCATATATTGCAAGGTTTTCAACATAAAATATAAGAATAATCCAGATTTGATTCAAACGCATTTGTAGTCACTGGCTTTTAACCACTTTTTTTTTTCTTATCTATATTTTTGTTCTTATTCTTTTTTTACTCAACTATATTTGTAAAACAGTTTGGATCAACTGTGTGCTATTATCGTGTGATAAATGAGCTGTTGGGTCAGATGGAGATATTACGATAACATGATGAAACTAAAGCAAACATGTTGCTCACTAATAGATCTCTCAAGCACGTTTCAAGTTGCAGTATCTATTAGTTGTACTGTATAGAAAGTGATGGCTTCATGAGGAAAGGAAGAAATTATCAAACAATAAATTAATGGTTTTTTGAAATGGGTTGAAATGTGCAAACACATTGGTATGATCCTTTTAAAACAAAACAAAAAACCCCAATGTTTTTAAAATAAAAGTATAAAATTGACATAAAGGCAGAATACAGTTCAAGGAATACATTCAAAGCTTTAAAATGATTTTGCAAACAGTCAGTGTAAAAAAAACTGCAGTATTCCTCTTTAAAGGAGAATACTGCGAGTTTTCTATGATAAGAAAAGAGCTGAGTGTAGTAAAGTGAATGCGTACTTGTTCTCTGAGGGCAGCATTTTCTGTGGCACTCGCACTGGCCCCCCCTCCGGCATCGGATACCAGCTTTAGGATAATATACATTGAAGTGTTAGCACCACATTAGCGTGTTCCACATTATGCATTATTCACAGAAAGATTTCCATCGCTGCCCCGCGTTCAGCCAAAACAGCTCTGAGAGAGTCTGAGCCGCGGCCGCAGGGTTTGACATTTTACACCGAGCTTCATAACGGAGGATTACTGTAAATCACGACCAATGTAACCAGAGTCACAAAAAATGTTGCCCAATAGAGCCATGTCCCTCTGTGTAGCGTTCATTATATGGTGTAGTGTAGCAGGCAGGGGTCACAGGGGTCAACAGTGGATTTAATACGGTTTGTTTTCACATTATCACCTCGTCAGGAGGGTCACAGGATCTGGGCCCGCCCTGCTCATGCTGACAGAGGGGAGTGATGGGACTGAGGGCGAGGAGAAGGGTGTTTTTATTCAACATAATTTGAGAGGTTGGAGTTAGATGTGTGCAAGAAAAGACTGTTATATATACAGTGTAGGAAAATAGCTGGAGGAGAGACAGAGGCAAAACACGGCAGAGTAAAAGAGACAGAAAAGAAAGTTTAAAAGTAGAAGTAGACAAAACACAGCTTTCTAACAGCCATGGAGGACGGACTCGGGGCTTATATTACAGCGTGTTATGATTACTTTGACTCCATTTTTGCAACACAATCTTAATGTACAAACTTTAAAAAGGTTCATATGTAATTGAGATGACCAGCACTAATAGTCTGTGGAGTACATTCACAAGACAACTGCTATATTCCTGCTGAATACATAAAGCATAACAACTTTACCAATATAAGTAACGCACTACAACACTGTATTTGTGCTTCAATAACTGGTGCATTTTATAATAAAATAATGCAGTTAAATAATCTTCATCGAGGGGACATGCTTTCAGATTTCTCGCAATTTACACATAAGTAAGTATTTGATAATATCAGGACAAACTGAAGTGGAATTTCAAAATGAAAGCCCTCTAAGATGTCATATATCAGGAAACTTCCGTCTAAATTCAGATAGAAATTAAAAGGAGAAGGCTGGTTGCCGCAGACCATGATTAAAAGATTAAAGATGATTAATCTTTAAGTAGACCACCTCGGAGTGACAGTAAGCAATTTCAGGACGTTATGATGTGGATTTTCAAAATGAAAGCCCTTACATACAATATATCTACCTTTAAATTAGGATTAACACTGTGATGTGAAGATAATGTGGTTTCAAACCTGATTCAACACTACGATAAATAAAACATATTGTGTGTTTTGACATGTTTTGCTTCAGATATTTAAATACTGGAAAGCATAAAACTGAACAGCAATTTACACTGAGGATGTGATTTAGTGTTTTTCATGTTGTATGTCAGCACAGGCGTCTGTGATTCAACAGTACATTTTACATGGCAAGTTGGCGCTAGGAGGTTTGTTGTTGGGAAAGTTTGGCCATAGCAACCACAAAATACAGTAATATGAAAACCGGAAGATACTAGTCACAGTTGTGTCCTTTAATTTTGACTTAAATAAAACGGTTTAAAGGGAAACATGTCTTTATCTGAGGAATTGTAATCCTAAATAACTAAATACATTTTGAGTGAAACATAAAAATGACAGTTTTTTTTTAATTCATATACAGTATTGACCAAGACCGGCATTTTGTCATGAAACGTTTATCCTCTGATTTAAAGAGGACACAGTAAAAAGAAGATGGTCAGAGGAAGTATGAGGAGTATGTGCAGTAAGAAGAGGAGGAGGAAATGAAACAATAACAGAGAGCAGTGTGTGTGTGTGTGTGTGTGTGTGTGTGTGTGTGTGTGTGTGTGTGTGGTGTGTGTGTGTGTGTGTGTGTGTGTGTGTGTGCGTGTGTGTGCGTGTGCGTGTGTGTGTTACGGTGGTGTTAACATGTGGTTATAACAGCTTTTGCTTTTTCATCTGGAGACACTTGGTGAGAGGAGAGGTTAGTCAGCACTGAAGTACAGCTTGTAGTACTGCAACAGAGCACATTATGGACTTTGGTACACTACCATATTGGAGGTTTCCTATTTATTTTCTTTCTCTTTCTCCTACTCTTTTTTATTACTTTATTTTTTGTGTGAAGTTTCTCATCTTATTTTGTATTTCCTGTTCTTGTTTTTCTTACATTTCAATACCTTTTACATGCCATCCTTTGCTATCTGCTTTTCTTCTCCCTTGCTTTCAACTGCCCTTTGCTTCACTTATTTCCTTTGCTCTGTCATCTTTTCTTTTTTACTTTCCCATTCAATTCTTTACACCATCCTTTTTTATGGAATTTCTTTCCTAAACTAAAGTCAAAGATTGAAAAATCGCAAAACGGTAGATTAGGAGGTTTTGACTTCTTCACAATTACAGTATTTTTCCTATTGATACTTTTAGTCCCTTGTGGTTGTCCTGCCTTTGCTTAAGTAGTTCTTCCCTTCCTGCTGTGCTGCAGATCTTCACTGTTAATGCAGACGTTAGTACAGAAGCCGTGTTGAAGCAGCGATGTGTTGTTGTGATGGTTGCTGGTTATGTCAGGTGACAGAGCAGAGGGGAGTCTACCTGTAGGGGGCGGCGCTCCCCCAGGACAGGTAGTCGTTGGGGCGCGGTGCCGGACGCGGTACGATCGGCTGCTCCACCGCCGTCACGTCTCCGGAGTAGGACTTGAGGAGCGAGGCGTTTTTGCTGGCCAGCATGGCGCGCTCGTTCCTGCGAAACTTAGCTCTCCTGTTCTGGAACCAAACCTGGAACAAAAGAGGGCAACGGGGTGAGGGTTGGGAAGTATCGCCATTACCTGTTTATAAATATGAGCAAACTGTGTATATGAACATAATATCATCGTTGTGGAACTGCAGGAGAGAGTCCAGAGCAAATGTCCATACAGGGACAATAGAGTGTATCGTATCGTATTGTGTATTATCGTAAAAATGTCTTGTCATAAGTCATTAAAAAAGAAGGCAAGTCAAGGTCGATGCATTTATAGAGCACATTCCATTACAAAGAAACTCAATGTGCTTCGGATTTATAAGGGGAAAAGCAGCTTCTCTTGTTTTGTCTTAAACTCTTGAACCTCTGTTAACCTCTTCAATCACTACAAACTCACATTTCCAAAACAAAAGACTTCTAGAAAATGTCCATTTGTGTAGAGTGGTGCAGTAGATAAAAACAGCCCTGTATTATTTTGAGTAAAGACCTTCGATTGGATCAGTCAGCAACACACTTCGTGAAGAGGCAGTAAGAAGTGTGGACGTCAGGGTGGAGGATGGATAGATATCGCATACAAATTACATGAAGAACAATACAAAAAACAATATGCGTAGAAACAATGACTCTTAAAAACTGTTGCCTTGCTCCTCGGTCTGCTCTTACAGTACATTGTTCAAGAAAATATACCCAACTCAAAGATTCAAAGACCATTTTCAACCACCTCTCATAACCTTTATCAGTGGCTATCAGAAGTGTACATGTTATGACTAGGTTCCTCTGCACTATAAAGTCAAATCAAAAGTAATACAACTCTGAAAACGAATCTTAAATCTTCCTCTAAATACAAATCAAAGCAACACACACAAATCCTTGAACAGATGATGGTGTGACCCAGGGGGTGTTAACATTGTTCCTCGCTCTGAAGTGAAATCCATTATCTGACGCTCACAGGCTCGCTGCTCGCTGACGCACAGCCTCAGGAATGAGCCTAAAGTCTCTTTTATCAAAGCATCGCTCTCTGCTACACATTATTCACAGATGTGCAGCTTCTCTCTCCAGCATCACAATTTCCTCTTCCCCTCTCTCTCTGCCCACAGAACAAATGCTCTCTCTGTTGTGTTCCGAAAACAGGCAGTTAAAAGAGACCAGAAAAAGCTTTAAAATACATATTAATCTGCAGTGTGGAGGCACACATGTGTAACTCGTATCATTATTTAACAGGTGCTAAAGCCTGTTCGCATTTGAAAGAATAGTTGGAATAAAGTTTCTTGAGCTGCTTATGAATATAGAAAATGCTTTACATAAATGCAGAAATATGTATGGACTTTTTCCGTTGTACAGAGTTGTTCTGCATACAACACAGAAATAGATAAGTACACTTTTTTGGTGGGAAAAAAATACATTTTGATTTGCGGATGATACAGGAATGACTTTGCATCACTAGCTGGAAAACTGGAGACATGTTCTTTATTTTATGCATTTCAGCACACTTTATCGTGGTTTTGTTGCTTCAGCACAAAGTTGCCTGGAGAGGTGACGGCACCCGCCTCCTGAGATTTTGAATAAACTATGAATTAAAACTATACGCAGCAGGGTTCCAGGGACATACATTGACACATTAACTTATGATTACAAAAATTATTATTTGAGTTTAGAGTTGTTAATATATCCTTATATTAACCTTAAAAACTATTTATTTCTTCATTGGGATTTAAGATGATTTCATGTATTAACAACACGTAATGGTTTGTACAGAAACTAATGCAGCATGTCTTATTTTCTCTTAGACTCATGGAACGCACTGAAATGATTGATGATGTATCATTTAGAAGGTGTATGTAAAGTCAGAAAATAGCATTCACTTTTTACAGTATGCATAAAGAAGCCATGACTCTCGAGATGAACGAAAAATGGTTTGCATTTAAAACACTAAAGCCATATTCTAGCTTCTTATTCTATGTTTGGTAGCCTGATCTCACTCGCCAGTTACAGCGTCGTCACATTTCGCTCGGGTTCTGCTGCAGCCCTCATGTGTTGCATATTTGCCGTTTATCGCTGATTTGTTAGGCACTGAGGAAATTAGACATCATTGCATCCACTTTACTGATTGCATGCAGTCCCTTTGGGGAGGCAAACTGCTCTCAGCCTCCACACTATCAGCCATCACTGTAGAGATAGTAAGTGTGATGTGTGTGAGGCGCTGACAAGTCCTTATCAGTTCCTCAGAGACCCCAGAATGGGGAATCTAAACATGGTAATAGGCACTGATAAGCCACTAAGTAGGGATATTAACTTGTAAGAGCTACCAGATGATGTGAAGATGTCCACCTCTGTAACTTCATGTCCTCATATAAAACTTCTCTCTAATAACAAGCTGGTCCTGCTCTGCTGGCAACCCAAACAAAGCTGTTCATGATTCATTTCAGAAATCCCGGTGTGAGTCATGAGGACCCACAAGGAATCATTAACAGGTCCCCCGGGGGTCCCAAAACCTCAAGAAGTATGTTTGATGGACCAAGTAATGGAGGAAATTTTTGTGTGTGTGTTTAAGGAGATCTGCTTGTTTTCCCTACACTGACTAAAGCGGTTTACAGAAGGGTGACCACAGGCATCTTCCTACTTCTGATGGCTGTTATTTGTTCCGTCAAAGTGTGTCTGATAAATGACCGCTGCTAAAGGACAACCGTCAAAACTCCCAAGGAATCCGGCTTTGCTTTGTCAAAATATCCCCTAATAAGTACATTATTTTCTTTCCCTCCTATTTGATGTTTCTCCTTGTAATGAGGCCACACCTCCGGCCATTAAGATTATCATTTATTATTATTTGTATTAATTTTCTCTCTGTGCTTTTATTTAAGGAATGTGTATGCTGAGATATAGCTATCTTGCTACATGATTAAGGTGAGATTATGGTCACCCATGGAGTGATGTATGTTATGTGCAGTAACCAGTCTGCACACATTTGAGTACGTATGCAGGTGTATGTCTTTATGTTATGTCTGAATGTTTACAAAAATGACAATAAAAAGAGTATTACAAAAAGAAATCCCCTGAATGAGGTTGAGAGTAACATATGATGTGTTTGTGGTGCTACTCCTATTCCTACCTGGACTCGGGCCTCTGTGAGGTTGACCCGGCGGGCGAGGTCCTCCCTCACGAAGGCGTCGGGGTAGTGTGTCCTCTCAAACACTCGCTCCAGAGCCTGCAGCTGGCTGCTGTTGAAGGTGGTCCTGTTCCTGCGCTGCTTCCTCTTCTTCTTCTCCTCCGTGTTCATCTGCTCATCTATAGGGAGAAGAAGAAGAAGAAGAAGAAGAAGAAGAAGAAGAAGAAGAAGAAGAAGAAGAAGAAGAAGAAGAAGAAGAAGAAGAAGAAGAAGAAGAAGAAGAAGAAGAAGAAGAAGAAGAAGAAGAAGAAGAAGAAGAAGAAGAAGAGAAGAAGAAGAAGAAGAAGTTATACAAAAGAATGAGACTTTAGATGCTTATAGGTTGAAGCTTGAGACACTTTGCCGGAGGAGATACAATAATAATAAAAGAAAGCAGCGTGTAGCCCACATCACATTATAATAATAAATACAGCTCTTCACATTTGTGCAGTTCACTGCTGCTGCTGCTGTTCTGAATAGCTGCGGCTGCCTCAAACATCAACAAGAGTTTGAAAGAATATGCACCATTGATGTTCATCAAATAAAGATGCTTTTAATGTTTCATGGTATATTCTAGTACAGTTTCTCAATTGTAAAATCTGCAAAAGTAAAAATCACAATGCGTCGTTCTTGTTTGTATAAAAGTTGAAACTTTCAAAAATGTTTGTATATTATGATTGAATCCGGATATATTACTTCAATAACTTTGTCTGTTGCAACTTCAATTATATTGCCAGATTCAGACTATAGACCCGCACTGTGTTTCAAAAGCTCCACGCAAGCTTTTTGTGAGTAGCGTTTCCATCTAACAGAGATTTCCAATATAACTGATGAATATACAGTATCTGATAAAGCTGTTAAACGTTTTAATACATTTTGCAGATCTTTTTCTGATTCTTGCATTGGATTGTTTTCTGATCCAGTAACTGTTAACGTTTTGATGTGCATAACCAACACAATTTAAATTCCTTGCCCGTGCATGCACAGGTTCAAATATTTGTTAGAGTGCAGGTCTTGATCAAAAAGCTTCCGATTTGCTCTACCACCTGACCTCCAGCTGCTACACAGTACTTGTACTTGTGTCCTGTGAACACCGTTTCCCTCAATGATAACCTGATAGCAACTGTAACTAAACAGAGTATACCTTCACAAAGACACAATTCTCAGAATGATTAGAACGTTTGAATTGGTATCAAAAGACACAAAGTGGCGGCTGCCGCTCTCTCCTAGCGCCTAAGAATTGTACCAGGTAAACATCCAGGATTTTAGCCTTGTAAGGTGTCTTAGTTGCATCTCTCTTCACACTTTCTATCTGACGCCAACCCCTATTGTATCAATTAAAGGAAAGCATGCCCATGCAATACGGACAATTCAGAAAATTGTTCAAATGTAACTATGTGTGTCTCTCAAATAAAAAAGAAAATTCAAGACAATAAATGAATTCAATAATTCCTCCTCCAGATTATCCATATTTATTGTATGATTGGGATTATGAGACTAAGTTCTAGATATCAGAGAGAGCAATCTCAAATGTGACATGAGATAACACTAATGTTATTTAAAAGAATACTTTTTTGTTTGTGTGTGTGATTCTATTAAATCCTTTAGAAACTATTCCTGGACCAGCACTGAAAGCACTAACACATGTAGCAGCTAACGATCAAAGGTAAATATATAATCTTTTCTGCACCTTCCAGCAGCTTGTGTTGTTCAGGGTAAACGCTCCTGTAGGGGAATCAGTTCTGTTGTGGCTCCACAACAAGACCACAAAATAACACTTTCACATGGGAAGAAAGGCTGTGATCAATTACTAATTACACACTCTCACACACACACACACACACACCCACACACACACACACACACACACACACACACACACACACACACACACACACACACCCATAACACAATCTGCATCTGCACACAAAGACACAAGTTATTTGTCCTCATGTTCTATACTGCATTACGTCTAAGTGCCTCATAAATAGAATTTGAGATGATATATTTCAGAGAGAAATCTCTCTGTCTGTTTATTGCACTGTGTTTATCTAGGAACTGGATTCATGGATTATTTTGGAGATAAAGATTTCATATTCAACATTTATCATAAAGACATCTTGTACGGTAAACTTATACATGTAAACCTCTTAATATTACATTTTTGCGATGCAGAACAGGAAATAGTGTTAAACACATCTAAATGAAACTGGTGAAAACTCAAAGGATTTAAATGTATTTTATAAGTCTTTATTAAGCCTTGTGTGTGACCACTCAAGGCTTATTTGCTGTTTGGCTGTACGTTATTTAGCATTAGAACCCACAACATTTGATGAGTGTTTTAATTTAGTTTTCTTAAGAAACTCATTTAAAATACATGAAGTGGGTGCAATTGGATATTCTTAGTAAAATATATTTGTATCATGAAAATAATTAGTTTGTGAAGTAGCACATGAAGTAATTATATATTTTTATTATGACGCTCATTACTTATTTAAAACACAACTGGATTCAGCTATAGTTCGGAACAGCTCTCTGCTTGTTCTTCTCTGACTGCGTAACGTGTTTTAACTTATTCATTTGAATGAATAAATTGAACATCATCTTAAAATGTAAATGACCTGGAAACCTTGGTTTAAGAAAACAAAAAGTCTTCCAAGCTTTCAATCACATCTCATGGTCTTCCTCAGCAAATCTAACATGTTTACGTCATACGTTATATGCCGAACCTGCGGAGAAGATTTTTTTATTTTAAATATGCAAAACTTGCTGATACAAGAAATTCCCAAATTCTTAAAGGCTTTGGCGAGATTTCTAAAACGGCAGATCTTCATACTAAATAGGTGTATTCCTACATTGGATTGCTAATGCTCTATTGAACTGTGAGTATGTGTTTCTAGTCAAATTCTGGGTACAAACGCTTTTGCTTTTCCACACACACTCGGTGTCACACACTTAGAGCAGATGATGTTTGTTTTGTTGTCTAATGAGAAAAGCTCCCCCCTGCAGCCTCAGCCAATCAGAGAACAGCTGTCAGTAAACTAAATGTAAACGCTGCTTATCTGCTGGTTAGAAGTCACCCTTTAGAAAAAAGCAAGATTGACTTGATCACATAGCAAACATTAGTTTGTGTTTTTTAGTGTTTTAACAGGTGGCCCAAAATGTCTTCATTTGAAGGATTTGTACAGGCCGGATTTGTTAAGACACTCAGTATTTTTTGATAATAAATGCAAAAATTGGATAGAAAGCAGGAAACAAATGGAGATCATTTTGGTTGAAAGAAACCAGTTTTTTTTATCAATCCTCATGTGACCTTTCAAATGTTCTTAGGACCTCTTTGTCACCGTTTGCAGCAGTAAGTCCTAATGATTCTTTATTTATATTTGTGTGATGAAATATATATGTTTTTGTATTTGCTGTTTTGTTTTGTTTGAAAAATACTCTGAATGCTGTGAAGCTGTTTTCCTTCTCCTTTCCAATCCTGTGAATCCTTGAGTGATTTTTCAGATTGACCTCCCCTCTGTGGGGATCCTGACTCGGGTATAACAGCCATTCAAATACTAAATATTGTTGTAATTTTTTTTTTTTTCATATAAAACTTATATATAATATATATACTTATATAACCTTTTTCCTTCAAAGTATATTCCTGTAATTTAATCGGCTATATGCAGACAAAAACTGAGCTCACATAATATTGAAGTGTTCTTAAATAAATGACATTCTTGCAATGTATCTTCGGTGTATGACGAAAGATTTGAAGAAACTGCGATGAAAAACACTGTCCTCTGACTTCCATCTTGTATAAAACAGTTAGTTCTAAATCAGTGCAGCGGCTCAGCAGGCTCACCGTTTGGGATCAGTGTGAATGGAGACGTTTCAGAGAGAAGTGGACGCAGTTACAGTGCGGCTGTAAACGACCAAACAGCGGCCGACCGCGCATTCTTTCCCCAGAAAACAGCCGCTGTTCAGGCTCGAGGTTAAAAGGAAAATCATGAAGCACTTCATTAGTCCGCGCGCACGTTTGATGACGTTACAACCGGAGAAAAGCGGGAAAATTAGATTACATGAGCAAATAAAAAAGATTGTAGTCTATACATATGCTACTGAATAACATATTTTTGTATTATTATTAAGCACAACATATGGTACGGACATTTATTTTTTGTGAAAAAGGACAATTATAATGTAACTTCGTTAGAAAAGTCTTATTATTTTTTAACTAAGTTCAATTATGTTATAGTGTTTCCTGGATGACCGATTCAAGTTTTTCAAAAATTGTTTAGCTCTGTTTAAAGTATAAATATAAAAACATAAAATCCCAGAGGGAACTCTGAACGGTCGTGCAGAGGCAGAGCGGCGGTTTGGCCTCAGAAAGCTTTAATTAAACATGCAGGGTGACATTAAAACCAGCAAATCCATTCCTGTCATCATCATCATCATCATCATCATCATTATCATGCAGCCAACACGTGTGATTACATTGATCTCATTAGCAAATCAGTGAAAGTCAATTAGTCTTGCCAAAACTCTATCGCGAGAAGAGAGGTTGTTGAGTTGTCAAATAGCAATACAAAAAGTAAACATCAGGCTACATTTAGATATGTAATACTTTACTTTAAAATGTTTTACTTTTAAATGATTGGTTAGTTTGATGATGTGCGAAATAGATTACATTTAACATTGTTGCTTCACGTTTCTGTAAGTAAATCGGAAAAATAAAATGTATGAACATTACAGCTCCAACGTTTCATTATTAATATCTGAATCTTGCGTAAATCTGCTGATGCATTGTAATTCCTCATTATTAAATACGCAAATAAACAGCACAAATGTTTCTACTCATCAGACCAATATTAGCTTTATAAACCCCTCTTTCTAAGTATCTCTCTCCACATGTAATCCGATAAGATGCTGTTATATGATTCCCTAATTGTTGGCGCGAGGACACGCGCGGTAATTATGACAAATGATTAGGCTCCGATATTCTGAAAGTGTTTGACAGGACGAAAATAACCGCGAATTAACGACGTGACCCGGCCACTTCCTCCCGCATATTTCTCACACGATTTTTAGCCTTTTAAAAAACTAACAATAACACTCATTAAAGCCTATAACGGCTCTGTCAGAATGGCCCTTTGAGCAGAAGAAGAGGAGGAGGAGGAGGAGGAGGAGGAGGGAGCGTTTATTTATCCTCTCAATGGCGAGCCGTGGATTTATCGGAGATGTAGTAAACTTCCATGCACCCAATGGCACATTTCATCAAATAAAACCCGTAAATACAAGTTTTAAGTTTGAGGTTCGGGCGTCAGCGCCAAATCAGCTAAAAGGACCCGCCTGTGGATCACCAAACTCGGCTTGGATTTGCCTCGTTTTTACCCTCACACCCAAGAATGACTGGTGGTTGAGAAAATGCTTTTTATCATTATTTAATGGTTACCTAATAGAGATGTGTATCATCAAACTAGTATACACATTACACGACCAGCACGTGACTAGGTATTTTTAATGTATTGGTTTTCTCTTAAATAAAAATATGTGGCCTCATTTTGCTCATGAGGAAGAGATTTGTTACCCCCGGGTTTTACTTGCAGGGTTACTGCATCGACCATGTCCACCAACATCACCATACCTCACTGACATCAAAGTGTTAATGGTAAATTAATGGCCGTTTTGAGGGGGAGGCCGTCAGGGATGATGCATTGCCAAAACTCACTAAAGGATTCTTCTCCGTGCGCGCTGCGTTCTGACGAGCTTCATTCATACTCCCTGCACGCGGACACACGCCAGAATATAACGAAAACAAATGACTTTAGTTTTCAACTGCTCATTAGAAATACATCTGTGCGAAAGTTGCCGTATTTTCTGGGATCGAGCCTGAAGACTCGTGGTTTAGAACCAAAACAAACAGAGGCATTTTAAAAATGTTGGCCACAAGATTTAAATTGTGTTTTTTAATCTCTTTGCTCAGTGCTATCTTTCACTTACTCTCCTGCTGGGTCGTGTCGCTCCCGCTGGTCATCCCCGGGGACTCCAGCATACTCCTACCCGCCTCCCCGACGCTCTCGTCAGCCTGGGTGCCGACCATTTCCCCGGCCTCCTCCAGATCCAGCAGGTGGCTGACCGAGAAGTTCTTTTTGGCTTGCAGGTTGTCCAGGTTAGAGGTGATCGGACTCTCCAGCCGGTTTGATAGCGAGCCTTGCCTGTCCATTACATGTGCATAGCTAGAAGTCATGACGCAAGAGGGGAACAGCGAACAAACGCAGCGATATTAAAAAGAACGAGAAGAAGATCCTTGCATGCAGAGCGTCCGAGCAGATTCTCCAGAAACACACAGAGAGAGACTCGGTTTGTTCCGAGCAGATCTCAGGTCTGCTCACATCCAGATCAGCCGCGCAGGGCTCCAACAAACTTCAGCAAAGTTTTCTCCTCGCCTGATGTTCCCGATCAAACCCTTTACAGACAATCCATCCAGCCGCGCGCGTCAACTGCAAAACAAGAGAAACATCAGCGTGTCCTGCTGCAGGAGAAACAGTCTCTTTTTCCCAGAAGTCCTCTGATTAGCAGAAGAAACTGTGTTCCCACTCGGGTTGAGTCACATCTGAGCAGGAAGGGCTGCTGCTGCTGATGACGACCAGATGCGCGAGCTCCGTGTGTGCGCAAAGCTTGCTCAGCGGCAGATAGGCGCGAGGAGGCAGGACGATACCGCCGCACCTCCAAACCATTGGAGCCTATAGTCTCTCTCTCTCTCTCTCTCTCTCTCTCTCTCTCTCTCTCTCTCTCTCTCTCTCTCTCTCTCTCTCTCTCTCTTACTCACTCTCTCTCTCCTAAATGAAAGCGTCGTAATTACGTGGCAATGCCTTTATGTTGTGTCTGACGTTTCACAGGCCCCCATCACCACCTCCTCCTCCTCCTCCTCCTCCTCCTCCTCCTCCTCCTCCTCCTCCTCCTCCTCCTCCTCCTCCTCCTCCTCCTCCTCCTCCTCCTCCTCCTCCTCCTCCTCCTCCTCCTCCTCCTCCTCCTCACCACCCCCCTTTTAGGCAGAAAACATCCCCATCAGCACCATCAACACCCTGCTTCGGCCTGTTTGTGTTCCCCATGCTGGCAAAGCTCAGGCCTAATGAGTGTGAGAGACTGTTTGGGGATCAGCAGCAGGAGACACACATGCTGCTGTTATCACTGCTCTGTGTTGATAAAGCACTCCGACTGTCCTGCGGTCTGCCACCAATTAAATAAACCCTAACCAGTACCAGTCAGTCTATCCACAGATCTGACTGCATGAGGCTCAGTTGCCAGGGCAGCAGGGAACACGAAGGAGTTCAGCTAAGTCTATGACATAAAATGTATAGTCAATGGGGTTGGAATTAATTAATGTAGCTGCAACTGCTTAGGGCCACCAGCGGCCCCTAAATGTGCAAACCAAATTTTCGGTCAACAGATACAAAAATGAAACTTAAAAATGTAATGTTTCTTGTTAAGACACACCTGAACGTCTCTCAATCTTTTTAGGGAATCATTTCAGTTGTGAAAATAAAAAATAGCCCATTTTAAAACAGTGTTAGATAGACATTGGAAATGTGTTCCTGTTTGTTAATAGACAAAGCCTACATCACAGAATTGGTTCCAATGTGAGTAGGGTTGGATGGCGTGATGTCACACAACTAGGACAATTGGTTGGTAATGAACATCATGAAATGAACCATTAATTACCTAATTTGGGAATATATCATTGGTATTTCGCAGGAATTGAAAAGTGTGCCCACCATCCCCAGTCTCCCCTACGAAAAGTGTCACTCATAACACACCCACAGACTCTAGAATAGATCAACCCTATACAGCTCTATAACGCTTTTAAGACTCTTTCAGCTACAAGTTAGCACTAGAGATGGAAAGTGACTCATCTTAAAAAATATTTTAAAAGTATGATGCATTTATGCAATGATACATATATTCAGATTAATTGAGGAATGTGAAACTCATAAAAGCATTATGATGTATTTTCACAAGGTAAAATAAGATAATAATTTGTTTATTCCAATCTAACTAACCTAACCAGTATATCAATTAGCTTATACCACCATAATTCATAATTATATTAATGTAACATATATTAAATGTAAATTTTCCCTCATGACAAAAACATTTAGCATTTTTTAAGCTTAGTATGTTTTGTACTTTTATCTGATTCAACATTTGAATGCAGAACACTTTGTTATTACTGCTTTTCTGATTTGGGGGGAGAACAATAGCAAAAATACATGAAAATATTTGACTTACATTTGTTGAAATCATAACTGAAATGTTGCTCCCGATACATATATGACATTTTATTTAGCTGCTACTTATGTTAAAGGTCCCATGTCATGGCCATTTCTACTGATCATAATTCCATTGTTGAGGTCTACTAGAATAGATTTATATTGTGCAATTTTCCAAACTCACATTGGGTTCTCATACAGCATCTCTGTATAGTAGGTGTATTCACTCTCTGTCCTAAACGGCTTGTAGGAGCTCCTGCCCCCCAGGATTGCCAAAGCACCCCCTAAGCACCCCCAAGAAATGTTTTTTTTTTTTCCGTATTTTTTCGAAAATTATTTTTATTAAATTAAATTAAATTAGAAAAAATATTGATTACATCAATGTAAATGTGAAACAAACAAATGTTTGACAAAAAACATAAAGCCAACACAGGAGATTTGATTAGGCCAATGGCCAGCACCCATTCGATTGTTGACCTATCCATAGGCACTTGAGTGACTTGAGTGACTTCCTATTAGCTAGAGCGCCAAATTATTTGCTAACAGCAAAGTGAAAAATGAATCGTTTTTTAGTCCTTAAACGTCCACGTGTGGACACTCAATCATAACCACCTGAAAGCGAGAGGGATTCTGCACATAATATGCTTTGTGAGTACAAGTAGCTTACTTCTGGGTCTCTGTGTTTCATTCAAGCTCTGCTCTGTGAGTGTGTGGCACGAGCCATTTTGTGTGCGTGCGCGAGCGAGCGAGTGAGAGAGCTCGCGCACTGGTGGGTATCGACTACTGGAGATCGTTGTGGGTAGCATCTGGTGCTAGCTAGCCAAGCTAACGGATATAAGGAGCTTTTTCAACAACAAGGTGGAGGGAGAACTCTCTCCTGTCAAACTGAGAGTCTCAGATAACCTCAGCTCAGGTGAAGTAAAGGACTCTCTCAGTGTTTAGATAGTTCACTTTAGCAGAGACGTGCACAGGTACGGGCTAATGTTGCCCGGGCAACGGCCCGTTTGGCCTTTTTGGCTGACCTGCCCCTCTGGAGAGAGCGAGAGTTTGTTTGTCTTTTTTCTGTTGTGGCCGAATCAACATGATAAGCCCACAATTAGTATTGTAGCGTCTCGCTGCGGGAAACACACTTTGTCAGCGCTGTCATCTGCGCTGCGTTAAAGACCACCTCTAGTGTCGGATTTTGGATACTTGATTTTGAGTTATCTCATGGCAGTTAGGGTATAAGGGACAAACCAGGGGACTTTACTTCCTCTTGATACCGGCGGTTATTTACAAAAAAACACCTAAATATAGCCTTGTTGTTATTGTGCTTCTGTCTTTCTGTGTCTTTTCATCTGTAAACTCCCTCAACGGGGCCGCTCGCTCTCTTTTCTTGATCGCCCTCTCACGGGTGAACAGTTCATTGTCCCGCTTCATTGTAGGAATTCTGCCACGTCTCTACCACTTTAGTTTGACCATCTCCGTTATTAAGTTATGGAATACTAAATAAATAAGTAATTAGATACCTTACCGTTACTGCGCTCATAAAGAATGATAAGAATAAGAATAATGCGTATTGAACTGGTTTAATTAATTAGTGAGTTTATTTAAGGTAATTAGTTAGAGGCCCTATTTTATCAGTATGTCTGCACTGCACAGCAGTTACAATGGTCAAGCTACATTAGAACAGAGTTGTCCCCATTTTGTCTTTAATAGTTACTAACATTAGATATTTTGATGTGATATGGACCGCAAAACAAAACATTTCCCTGGTTTTCATTTTTAAAATCAAGTCACCGAATGCAATAGTCGCCTTAGCTTATTTTGTTAGGAGATGTGAATTACTGTTCAATTTAGTTGTAATTTTTTTTTGGGGGGAGGCCCTTTTTCCAGTTTAGAGCAATAGCCCCTCCAAATGTATGTGCACGTCCCTGCACTTTAGTCTAGTTCAGAGTTCAGAGTCTAGTTCAGTTCTAGTTATCTCAGTGGGTCTCAAACGGTTTGTTTTAATAGGTGATAGTGATTTGTAAAATATCTATAAAGAAATAGAAAATCTGTTTACAGTTCTGTTTCATATGGGTGATGAGAGATGTATCCATATCTCTTCATTTTGCCCTCAAAGTGCACCAGATTGATGCTTTTAACTTCAATATTTAAAAAAAAATCTTCCCGGGGGAGCATGCCCCCGGACCCCACTAGAGGAGGTGAGGACCCTCCTAGAGGAGGTGAGATCCATTCCCGACTTGTAAAAATAGCACTTTACCCCTGCTTACACCTATATGCCGTGAGCTGATTATTGAGCCTTCATTGTAACAGTCGCGGGTACACTATGTGTGCGTGTGGGGAGTGTTGCTGTAGAACAGGGGTGGGGAACCTTTTTCCTCTCAAGGGCCATTTCAATTTTTACAATATCCTCAGAGGGCCGTACAAATTATTGACCTCTGCTTAAAAAAACTAAAATCACAGCCCATTCACTTCATTCTGTGCAAAGAAAAGGCAACCTCTTAATCCAGATATCTCACCATGACTCGCGTATGCATGCACGTGCACGGTGTGGCGTGACCACCAAAACAGAAAGATATGGACACAAGATGTGTGCAAATGTATTTAGTTTCCTATCCATGTGAACATGATTTAAGTGCGGGGGGACCTAACCCCCTCTAGGGGGGTCCGGGGGGCATGCTCCCCCGGGAAGATTTTTTTTTAAATGTTGAAGTTAAAAGCATCAATTTGGTGCACTTTGAGATCACAATTAGGAGATCTATGGATACATCTCTCAACACCCATATGAAACAGAACTGTAAACAGATTTCCTTTTTCTTTATGGACATTTTACAAATCACTCCCCTTTCAAACTGTATTCTTCTTTATTAATAACAACTTTTTTTTACTGTCATATAGTATTTTATACCTGTTTACTTTATTCTCTTATTTATTTATAACTATAATGATCACTGGTTGTAGAAAAAGCTTCTTATATTTGTTAGCATAGCTAGCTAACCAGATGCTAATAACAACAAAGTTATTGACTGTATGATCAGTATGACAGATGAACAGATCGCCACTGGGCTTTCAACTAAAGACACAGCCACGCAGAAACTGCGGCATGTGTACGGCTCCTTACCCCCAAAACACACCAGGAGCGTCTGCGCCGCGTTACGTTGCGGCTGCGCCACGCTGCGACCTCCTCCTGCGTCAACACACACCAGACGCTTTTTCAAAACGTTGCGGAAGCGGAGCGTCGTGTGTGCAGCCTCGCAGTTGTTGTTGATTTTGGAATATTTCCTGGACATTTGTACTTCTACAAGTAAGTAGGCTATACGTAGTTAAATGGTTTATGTTTGTGTCTGTTTAAATCGTGTTTATTGTTGTTATTTCCTATTTTGTTGTGTTGTAGACTACAGACACAGTTAATAATAATTGTAATATTCCAGTTATAAACGACATGAATCAAAGATGTGTTGCTGTAT